GAATTACTTTAGTAAATAGAACATTTGATTTATTAGAATTAATTGATGAAATAATTGAGACATTTGGAAAAAAAATTGGAAATAAAAAAATTGAACTAATTTTAAATTGCGAGGTAGATAAATTGCCGAAATATGTTAAGAGTGATCCTGAAAGGTTATTGAAATAATGTATTTTGTGATTAAAAAAAAAAAGAATTTATTACTTATCTTGTCTCTTTATATATTAAATAGGCTTAAACAAGTTTTATCCCATTTATTATCAAATTCGTAATTATATTTAAATATTTTTTTTATTTGTCTTTATTGTTCATAACCTATTAATATTTTATTACTTAATTTATTACTTAATATAATATCTTAGAGTTAAATTTACCGAGCAAGGTGAAATTGTACTGACAATTGCAATACAACCAAGAACAGCCATTGGGGAAAACGAACAGAATCCTAGCCACAATACAATTATTAAAAAGGAAGCTTTGTTAATTGAATTACTTGATACTGGAATTGGGTAGGTTATTTATGATTATAAAACTCAGTATATTTTTACAAATATTTCATATATTTCAATATACACATCGGCTAATAATTCAATAAAAATAGCATGAATCCAGAGTATATACAACATGCTTGGAAAAGCTTTTCACAAGGTGACATGTCAATAACCAAAAGACAGGATGGTACAGGACTTGGACTCTCAATTTGTAAAAGTTTAGTAGAAATTAACGGAGGAGAAATTAATGCAGCAAGTCAATTAGGCAAAGGGAGTAAATTTTGGTTTACATGGAATATCGAATTATTATCAGCTATGCCAACTATTTTAAAATTTCCCACTCTTTCATCATTGGAGGCAGAATTTAATAAACAAATAATATTCATGTTGCCTCATACTTTAGGAAAAAAACGAATACTAATAATTCATCCAGTTGATGGTGTTAGGAATTCAATATTAAAATACCTTAAAAGAATCGAAAAAATTGATGCATTCGATACCCTTGATAAAGGTATTAGAGCAGCAAAAGTCCATAAAGAATTGATTGGTCGACCTGCTTATGATATAGTATTCATAGGTCTTTATGAAAATAACAAAGAAGAGGTCATGAATGCAGCATTAGAGTTAAGAGAATTAGAAATAAATAATAATAATTTAGTAATAACCTTTATAGTATCTCCGAATAATGAAGGAAAAGAGTTGGCAGAAAGTTTAATTGAAAAAATTGGAGGAATAACTTTTGTTATTTATACTCCAATTACATGGAAAAAGTTGGTTAATCAATTTATACATTTGGAAAAAGGCGATGCTATTTATAAAAATAAAAGTTTGCACATCGTTGAAAGTGTTCTGAAACAAGTACCAAATTATAGGCCTCGTAAAATTAAGGATGAAAATCAAGATATATATAGAGATATAATTTTGAGTGCCTCTAAGAGTATAACAAGAAATGTTACCAGGAGCAAATGTATTTTATGTGTGGTATGCTTTGTTTTCTTATTTACATTGGTAATATTACGTATAATTGTTAATTATAAAGTTTCTCTAATCGGTTAATTAATTTTATTCATAGGATGGTAACTCTGTTAGTCTAGAGGTAACTATATATTTGAAAATGTAGACTCGTATTCTTTTAATAAATTTTCAAATTAATTTTCCGATCTAATCTTATTTTTAGAACACACTGAAACAAGTCTCAAAACTTGGTTACTCAACAGTCTTTGCAACAAATGGTCAGGAAGCAGTCAGATTGATTAATTCAGAGTTTAAAATATTAAATGATGCATATTCAAGTTCATCTAGTTCAGATATAAATTCCTGCGGAATTTCATTAATCCTGACAGAATGTAATTTAGTAAGTTTTTCACTGAATTCGTTCTTTATTATTTGTCATAACAAAATATTAACAAATATTAACACAAATTATCAAAAAAAATATTAACAAATTATTACGTAATAACATTGATACGTAAATTATTATTATAAACTTAGCCAATAATGTCAGGATTTGATGTTTCACGAGCAATTAGAGCAATGGGACCACCAATTTCAGACATACCTATTATTGTTCTAACTACTTTATCTATGAAAGAAATACAAGGTAAATGTATAGAATCAGGAATAAATGATTATCTTGCGAAACCTCTGAAAACTGATGAGCTTGAAAAAGCTCTAACTAAATGGATTGGTAAAAATTAGTATTAAATCACTATTAAAAATATTATGAATCTTGTTTATCACGCATATGCATTTTAAGTTTAAATCATCTTTATCGATGTGTTTTTATTATTCTAATATTTTATGATTTCAAGAAAAATTTATGCAATATGTTTCTATACTTTGTTTCCTATCATTTATGAGGAAATAATTACATTTATGATTATATTAGTTATATGCAATTACTTTCAAAATCTTAAAAACTGATATATTATTTTCCGTAATTTATTTATATCTCTTTTATGCTTTCTCTGAAATTTTGTTTCAAAATTTCATTACAGTCCAAATAACCATTATATTTCAAAATAAAATTCGCCAATTTGTTAAAATAAATCGACGCTTAAAAACACTGTTGCTACGTACTACATGATGCTCTAAGTAAAAATGTTCAGTGCTCCAAAAATTTAATTTTAAACTCATTTCTAGCGCAATCCTAAATTTAATAGTAAAACTAAAAATATACACGATGTTGACAACCATTGGTTATTTAATACTATCATTAATAATTTTCATTTACAAAAATGAATCATTTTTCTTGATGCAAGTGCATGAGTTGATAAAGATTTCTTACAATCTACAAGTAATTCTGCTTGTTAGAAGTTCTACTACTTTTTAATGAAATATTATCGATTCCGTTAATTAGTCAGTATGTTGCTCCGATATGTATTTCTGATTCATTTACATATTGATGTTATACTCTTCTTGTGATAAGTTGAAAATCCTATCACCACTAGTGATGTGCAAATTGGCGTTTTTCAAATTTCATGCGCATTTCATGAACAACCCTAAAATCGCCAGGCAAAAAAAATTTCAAGATAAGGTGTAACGTTGCACGATCAGGAAAATTCAAAACAAACGGTCGTTTTGTCAAAAATCGCCCATAACTCAAAATTTA